AAAAAAAAAAGAATCCCTTGTTATTCTACTTCCTTCACCTTTTACAATACAAGACAAAAACCTTCTACAAATTAACTCTATAGACTCATATGAATGCAGCACCAGAACAACCAAAAGAATGACAAAAACACTGGTTTCTTTTGTCTCTCCCTCAACCAAAAGCCACAACTCCCCGATTTTGTAAGACACATCTACAGAAGCACAGCAGGAAATATGAAAATTTGCCACTAGGAGGTAAGTTAAGGGAATTATAAAAAATAGTCGGGGGTTCTGCGTGTGGTCTCAGGCTCAATCTGACGTGGAGCTGGGTCAAACTGAAGAAAACTTTGCTCCATATTCTCCCCAATCTCAAGTATTGCAGCCATATTTCCACAGCGATAGCAGTAATTTGGTGCACTAAACACTGTTACCACATTCTTGTCCTACAAAAATTACAGAGATCAATGTAAACAACAACCTTCAAGAATAAACTATTCAAATATGCTTTCCATTTTGATGAGGGATCCACAAACCTGGGACCAATTATATCCTTCCATAACAAGCTGGTGAGCTCTAGAAATCAGAGTGAGCCCATTTGTGTGGTTGAACTGCCCAGAAATATCCTGTCCAAAGGTATACCCTGCTCCCCGAGGAGATATTCCCCATCCACATCGGTCATCAGGGTCAGACCATAAGAGATCACACATTGGACCCTCATGAGGAACCTACACACCAAACAAATAGGAAAATAGTACAATTAGAAATGCAACAAAATTGGGAAAGGCATATTTGATGAGATGACACCGATCAGGCTTCTGCAAGAACAATGATTGAGAAAAGTACACTGTTTAACAGATGCTGCTATTATGATTTTACCTGATGAGCTTCAACACTAATTCTAGAATCTTAGGCGCTGACAATAACAAAGACACAGCATTCCAGGGGTTGAGCATGTTTTATGAGTTATGGTATCTTTGGTTAGTGAGTCAGGCTTATAACATAAGCTTTACTTTAACCTGCCTCTGATTTTCAAAAGAGAATATCCGTTATGAACTCTAGATATATCAACACTGCACTTTTTATGCATTAATATGTTGTCATTTGGAACATTCCAAAACAATTTTCTGCATAAACTATTACTTGCGACAAGGTAGACAATCTACTTTGACTATAAACTTTTAAGTGCCAAGGTTAAGAGAACTGCTGGTTTACCTCCTGTATACGGTCCAGAGCACGGATGTTATCTAATGTATCCAAAGATGGAGAGAGTCCACCATGCAAGCAGAAAATCTGCAAGGCGCATGAATAGTTGTCAGCTAAGATCTTGGAGATACTCAACATAAGACTGTGTCCAAGAATTCAAACCTGACTTTCAATCAGTGCGGTCAGAGGTAAATAATCAAAAAGGTCAGTGAAATACTTCCATACATTAGCATTTCCATATTTTCTCAAGCATTCATCATAAAATCCATACCTGAAAAGAGAGGCAGTTGATTATTTATTTGAACACAGACTCAATCAGCAAAATTACCAAATAACTTCGCTCCTTAATACGAGCTTTACATGATCCAAGTATGTGTTGCAGGTTTAAGAACTACCCTACTCCAATTCTCCAACTCTTGCAAGACACATTAGTTTGCATTTGCATTCATTGGTAAAATAAAACAATAAAACAATCAGTGAACTAATCGAGTAAACTACTTGCAACAAAACCTTTTTATTCCATTTTCAATTATTATTTAATGACTTTACCATACGAGATCTAGGAAAATTTTAGTCCAAAGAATGTGCATGAGTACTTTTTCGCTCTAGGGTGCAGAAATATGCTCAGTTGACAACAAACAAGACTGTTAGTGCTTTTACTGAAAGGGGAGAAAAAGAAGCAGTAAATATGTAAATCTCACACTTGAGTTATCTGGCGGCTCTCATGATTTCCCCTTAAAATAGTTATTCTATCTCTATAACGAACTTTCAGAGCAACTAAAAGAGTGACAGTCTCCACTGAGTAATATCCTCGATCTGCATACAACAAGTTAAAAGCATAAATCAGTGCCGTTATCCAAAGCATCTGCAAAAGATGCACCGATATATATGATTTGTTGCAATATTGGAGAAGACAAAGGTCAGCATAGACCATATCAGGGAGAGAAAAAACAGCGAATCAATGGCACTAGATTGTGGATACAACTCAATCTCAAGAATCTCCAATAATAACTTTTTGCAAACTCCTAGCTGTAGGGTAAATTCTTTGCATTTGTGGCTCATATTTGACAAATAGCACTACCTAGGGCATACCACAGATGAAACCAGACAACATTATATTTAATCAGACTCATGGAACTCTCAGAAAAAGGCTTGGTACGGTATAATGTTAATGAATAAACAATGTTCAATAAGAAAATACTCCTCGGAAGTTTACTTATCTGTCCTCCAACAGCTCCCTTCCAGATGAAAAATAAATACAAGCTTATTCCCCAAAAACTCCCATATTAAACATTACCACTTCACTTTGCACAAACTCCAACTCTCAAGAAATTAAAACTAAAAATTACACGCGTGTCATTTCCTGTCCTAAATCTTCATTTTCTTTGTAGTAAATCTCCTTTTAATTTTTTTTCTTTTTCACTCAATCAACAATAATAATAATAATCTAAAAACAAAATTTCCAAAATATTAAATAAATTGCGAAATCAATAAATCTTCAAAAATAAAAGAGACTATATAAAAATTAGCACACTTAAAAAAAAACTTAATTTTCATTTCAATTAAAAATTAATGTAACGAAAAACGGACCTACCTACGTAATCGCCCATAAAGAGATAATTAGTGTCGGGAGCGTTGCCGCCGATGCGAAACAACTCGACGAGATCGTGGAACTGGCCGTGGATATCGCCGCAGACGGTGACGGGACATTTCACGGGCTGAACATTCCACTCCTCCACAAGGATCGCACGTGCCTGCTCGCACAGCGTCTTCACCTCCGCCTCCGATAGCGGCTTGCACTGCATTAAGTGCTCGATCTGACGGTCCAGATCGCCGTGGGACGGCATCGTACGGGCAGTTGAGCGTTTTAGTGATTTTTTTGCAGTTTTTTAATTGTATGCTGGGGCTTTAATCGGACGGGGGAGGATGAAGCTGGAGATTGAGGATTTTGGGGATCAGGTCATGGTTAGGGTTTGGGAGATTGTTTTTGGCCCTCAAGCTCAGTTTTTTGTCGCAGCAATGCCGCCATTATTTTTGTTACCAGGTAATATTTGGAATTTGCGTTTATGTCCCTGGTTTTGCTTCTATTTATGTTTCCTCCCCTTTTCAATGGAATAAGCCTTAAAGTATGGCTTCAAATTCCATTTTTCCTTTCAAAGATTTTTGCAGTTTCTTTTCTTTTGTTTTTGATTGAACTTTTGAGAATGCTGCTGTTCAAGCTCTCCAATCAAATTTGAAAGAAAGCCATGGTGGTTTTTCGATTTTACATCAACTATTTCATAAATTAATGTTCAGATGTCTACGTATTTGTGTTACACCTATACATGCAAGTGTTGCAAATCTCATATGGATAAAATATGAGATCAATGGGATGCTCTTTTTAAGTTTAAAAGTAAAGAACTTCCTCTTCAGTTAAACATATCTTATGAATTAAAAGTTATGGTTAGTTTACTTCATTTTAAATTATGAATATGAGTTTTAATGTTTTGTAAAAGATAAAATGATTTAAACAACTTAGAAATTTAAAAAAATAATTTGATGTGTTTAAGAAAGGGACATCACTTTTGATATAAGTTGTTGTTTCTACCATAATTTACATTCACGTTTCTTCAACTCCTAAATTTATATTTTTCTTTAACTTTTAACAATACCAATTTAGTTTGATTGGTTTTAAATAATTTTTTTTTATTTTTAGTAACAAATAAATAAAAATAATCTATAACTATATATTAAAGGAAATCCCAACAACACTCTCAAGGGTTGAAATTTGGCTCTTTGTTGGTTTGACATGTGGCATGTAGAAGGGGGGTTTTGTTTTGGGTTTGCAAATGTGGTTTGTTGCAAGGTTTACTTGGATAGGGCACATGCTCGATGCTTTTAGACTTCTCCTCGGGTTGGCTTGGGCGGAAGGCATGGTTAATCTTTTCTTGTCTATTTTCTTTCCTTTTATTCCTCTATTTCTAGACTCACGTGAAAGTCTTTTGGTTTCTCGAGAATTAGACCCAACCACTTCATTCGTGTCACATTTCGTTTTGTAGTGAGATGTTACTGTCGCATGACCCTAGAAGGGTATAGCCCATTAGGCCCAATCAAGCCTCCTTACATTCATTCATAACTTAGCACATTAATCATAATCATCGTATGTAAAGTTGCTGGGAATTTAAATCATGTTAAGACGACTCATACGTGGCAGAATATTATTAAAATTTTAATCCCCTAAGCCGTAGATCACTTTAATTGAAACTAATTTAGACAAATCACAAGAGAAATTTTGACATATTTGAAAGTCTGCTTTTTTTGGTGGAGTCTTCTTTGGCTTTATTTTTTTTTTAACTTATATACACCAACTAGGACTTATCAAACTCTAGCAGCACAGTTGTCCTACCTTCAATGGTTATCCATATAGTAATTTGTCAAAATCTTTTCTTTAAGAGTGTGTGAATCCCTAAGCCGAAGTTTGTGTTAGCAACCTCCCAACTTTGAGCTCCCTTGTGTTTCTCTTTTTTTGGCTG